CTCACTTAAATTCAAAGGAATGTAGTAATTTCTTTGATTCCAGTTCACATCATGAAGCCATCTTTTGAGAAATGCTATTGCTTAGCTTTGGAGCTGAATAGAGATTCTTTTTGAATTCCACTTCATCCATGTTTTTAATCTGTTTTCTATACTGATCTCTTTGAGATTAAACAATCTTAAATCAAAGCTTTATTTGTTTGAGCTATAGAATGTGCTGCAATTATTTAAAAATCACAGGCTTCTTTTGTACTCAGCAGCTGGTACAGATTTTCAGAAAAAGAACTCGTGAGTACAAAGGGACAACACAAACATCAAATATGATAATAAATTTGACTTATTCACTACCCTGAGATTAAATTTCTAACAACTTAACTTATATCAAGTATAATATTTGTATTTTTTCCAAAAATTTATTCCAATACAAGCTCAACAATACTGGTTGAAATTATGAGTACTGTAATATTGAAATTATTATTTGCATACGTGAAACTAACATAAACCTTTGTCATTTTTCATCAGGTAGTTCAATAGGATGTTGGAAAAGAAGACTTCCACTCTAATAGGAGGTAAAAATGATCATCTATTTACCTCATTCTGATTTCTTTTAATTGCTTCACAATCCACTATAAAGATTTGCTCTGACCCTAATATTTTAAATTTTCTACTTTTTTTCTACTTTTCTCTCACATAAATTAGATGTTTCATTCTTTTTCCTACTTATTATTTCATTCACACAATTCTGTGTTGAGCACACAAAGGTGGAAGTATACAGCCTTGTTCTCTGTTTTTAACGCTCTGTATCTTTTTGTTTCCTTTTCTGTGGAATCAGTTTTTCATTATCCTTATAAGGAGATGCCATTTTTTTTTCAATTCTTCCTTAAAAATATAACTTCTTTAGCAGGTCATTTCTGTTCCTTATAGAATAGTGAATGGGACTGTTCTTAGTGTATTGACTGGTCCCTTTACATCAGCATTATAACTTTTAGGTATTAGGTTTACTTTCATGTGATTGTTATTTCATATATCATTGTGAACATATTTTTTTCCAAAAATAAAATACATATTGACCTAAAAGAAATTTCATCTAAAAGAAAACCTGCCTAATGTGCTATATTTTGATATTTCAGAGGAATTACTTTTAGTCTAATTATTATAATTTATTATAATCTCATAATCTTTTTATATGGTGGCCTATGCACTAGTTTGTGAACTGATTGCAACTGGTGTGGGAGGTAAGGTGCTCACAAAAATATGTAAAATATGTGGGTTTTTTTTTTTTTTTTGTAGAAAGGCATTTTCTATGAAAGGTACAGTGTGCTTATTTCCATTCTAGACTAAGCTCTCTATCGCCTAAAAGACTGGTAACAGTCTGTAGACTGGCACTGGTTCACAGACCTCATTTTGAGGTCTATAGCATTGCTATAGAGAATTTTAATCCTCCCTTTAAACCCATGTACCTGAGAAAAATCTTTATGTTGCATGTTCCTGTAGAAAAAAATTATAAATTTACTTTCTGTGGATATTTTTTGGCATTCTTAAAATTATAAAATATATTGATTTTGTCAACTACAAATGTACTGATTATAAAATTGTTCTTTTCTTTCATAGAAATAAACATGGCTTTAT